CAGGAGCAAACAAGCAATTGAATTTTTCGACCTCTATCAGTTAGCTAGGTATCATATGTTTTTTAATTTTTTTTGTATATATGAGATCCTCATATCCACTAATTTGTGTGGAAAAGGTAGGATGTCGCGGAAGTCTCGCGGAAAGCCAGCAAGAATTGGAGAAATAATTTATGCAGGTTTAAGCATTTTCATTAAGCATAGGGTCGTGATTTAGGGGTTTAGTATGTTGCTCCGGATGCGAAGATGAGTGGTTCGATCCCTTTTTCTTCCCATACTCATTTTTAAAGAATGGGCTGCATTTGCGAGCTAAGGAAAGAGACAGTTGAGGAAGGATGGCTTCAGTAAAGGGAGTAACTGATGTTTTGTTCTGCTTGTAGCATTGACGGAAATGAAAAGCTTTACACTGCTTTTGGATCAGAACCTCTCGGGGAGAACCACAAGCTTTACTAATCGGTCAGTATTAATTTTACATTTTAGTGACAGAAGTAGAAATGAGGCCGAAGTTCTGATTGTACCTCACTAGCTTCGCTTCTCCTCTTCCCCTTCCTTTTCCAAGGTGGAAAATTTTTTATTTGTAGGTGAAATTTGTCCTTTTTTTGAAAAAGCTTTCGTGCCCGTCTAGTCTCAACCTTTCTGCTTATTCCTGGTTCAGCTCAACAGATTTGAAAAGTTGTGAGCAAATTTTCAGGGACCAATTTGTGGTGTCATCAACTACAGCGCTGCAACAGCATCTCAGTGAATTTGAGGATCATCGACTCATTACACGAAAGCGTCTGAAAGACGGGAATGAATATATTTGGCTTACTGCTGATGATGAGGTTTGAAAACTTGTTTTTTTTTTTGAGTTTTAATCCAAAATCGCCAAACTGCTGATACAGAACTTCAACACGATGCACCCAGCTCTGCCAGGCTCTTCCCTCCTAAGTTGCATTCGTACAATTTGAGCTCCCCCCTCAGTTATGTTAATCTTTCCATCGCTGAAAAATCTTCCGAAGAGTCGTTCCCCTCGTAAGTGTTGATACTTATGAGGGGAACGACTCTTATCGTACTAATGACTTTATTGATTTGCTCCCAAATGTTGGCCGTAGGGGCTTCAAAATTTTTGGTGCTAGGCTGTGTCCCTCCAGTTAGTACCCAAAATTAGCGTCCTCTCGCCCTCCGCTTGCTGTTCTGTTACTATGAAATTGAGCTAACAAGCATGTATGTTTTCACGGCTCGTTTTAACTTTTCTATTTTATTTTTTTTTCATTTTGAATTTTTATTTTTCATCATTTTTCATCACGTTTTATCTTGTTGAATTTTTCATTACGTTGAATGATAAAAAATAAAAGGGGGCACGACAGAAACCTGCATGCCTATTATATTTTGAATTTTGCATGCCATATGCTGCATTGCCAACTGCTGGTCAGACTGGTTTATAACCGTCTTAACTTAGCAGGACAAAGTACAGCATAATGCTTTTTCGCCATGCTACTTAAAACTGTCATGATTTAAATCTCGTTGTGTCTCAACACTCCCTGTTTTTGAAAGTTAGTAGTAGCTAAAGAGAAAATAATGTAAAGAAAGAAAGAAAAAGGAAAAAGAAGGAAGGAGGGGAAAAAAGAGAAAATGGAAAAGAATTATAATTTTGAAATTTTTTCAAAAATTATTTTCATAAAAATTTTTTAAAAAATTAATAAAAAATGTTTCGGTCCATTAAGTCGTATACATTTCTTACCATTACCACAACTGGACCTTGTCAGTACGATCATTTGTTGTCACTTTCACTCCACGATGAAATATTTGGGTCAAAATTTATTTTCCTTCAATTCCTATTAAATTTTGAAGTAGCATTCAATTTTTAGAGTATTTTTGCGCGATTATTTTTCAGAGCTTTTCTTCTGTAAGATTAAAATTAAAAAATTTCAGACAATTGTAGAATTTCTGAAGGAAAAAGGAATGCGATTTGAAGACACCGACACTGAGGATGAGTTAACTCCAGCTCCACGAACTGGCTGTGCAACTTGAAATTCTTATGCCTTACTGGGAAAGATCGTGTTCTAAGGAAGCATGCATTTAAAAATGACGATCCATTAGAGTGTGTTTTTTTTTTTTCGCAGATTGTTTACTAGGTTATATTTTTATTGTTTTTTGATTTACAATACCTCCGTTTTTGCGAAATTTCTTGAAACTTTTTAAGATTCGCCACATCAGTAGTACCTGAAGAATATGGGAGTCAGCTGCGCAAAATTATGGGCGTACCTTGGGTCTTTTTTGGATTTTGGACGTACCTTGGATCTTTTTCGGATTTTGGACCTTATTTCTCTTTCTGTTGGTCTCTTATTGGTCTCTTTTCGATGTATCTTACTAGTCTCCTCTTTGATATTTTGAGCATCTATGTACTCCTTGATTATAGATTCGGCTCATTCAGGTGACGTAGTAGAAGCATAGATCTTCTTATCTCACTAGAGGTTTTATTTTTCAAAATATTTTTCGTAAGAAATGGCATGCCAAAGCTGATCTTAATTCAGCTAGCTTAGCAGTATCTTAAATCTTAGTTCCTCAGAAGGCAGTTTCAGGATGGGTTTTGGAGGAATAGCGATCTAAACTGCCTCTAGATCAATACATATTATTCTTTCGTTACTTTAAGGAATAGAGAACTAAAGCTGGTTAACTGTTGTGAGTAGGATGGGTTTTCCTACAGCGAATTTCGAAAAAATTGATGAAAAGGAAAAATTTTAATGAAATGTCATTGTATACTCGATTTTGAAATTGTCTGAGGTAGAAGAAATAAGCTGAAGCAAAGCCAGTGTAAGTACAGTGTCACGAAGTAAAGTTTAAATTATCATCCGATCTTTTATCCTAGCACTATCAACTTGATGTGTTTTTGATTGCAAAGAATATCCTCCCCCTTCTTCATTTTTTCATGTCTAATTATATTTTTGGAATAAAAGAGAGGTAAGAGATGACTAGGCTGAATTAGGGCTAATTTTGCCTTTTATTCCTTATGAAAAATATTCTAAAAAAAAAGGATCGCTATTGTGATAAGAAGACCCATTTGAATATCTCTGCGCTAATCGAAGAATCGGGGAATTACAGAAACTGAAAGCATCATTTGAAAAATTCGTGAATATTCTGCGACACGGCACGTGAAATTGTCTAAGCGAAATTGAAATTTTTGTAGCAAAAATTTGAGATATTTTGCTCTAAAAATCACTTTTACTAGAAGTAAAGGAAAAACGGTGGGGCATTTTGCGCTACTACCTCAACTGCCAATAATTCACTTATTTTTTGTTTCGCATTACTGAGCTCAAGGTTTTATTCTCATTGATGCTCACTTAGTGCTGTTTTAATCGTTGATCACGGGTAGCTTTATTATCATGAAGCAACCTGAAATCACTTTTATCATGCTTTTTTTGTTTTTTTTTCAGTGCAATAAAAATGTTTCGTTTTTCTTTTTCCTGAACACAAACAAAGTGTTATATTCACAGAGATGTGTGCACACATTTATACACATACATACACACGAGTACAGAATTTCACGTGTGGTAAAAAGAAGGGCACGAAAACAACGTTGAAAAAAAAAAAAAAAACAATAAAAAAGAAAGACAGAGTTTTCGCTATCTTCGTTTTGTTCCGGAAAAAATTTATGCGACCACCGTCCGTTGATGATCTGGACTTTTTCCCTTCGGTGTTAGCCATTTGACAAGGCACCTTTTTTTTCGTTGGGTCATCTTATAGCTTAGGGGTGTCTGCTTTTGTTCCCACTCATAGGCCCAATAAAAAAATCTAATAGTATTTGTCACCGTCTATCACATATATTTAGAATTAATTAAAGACAGATGGACGCATAATGATAAAAAATCGCGCAGGTTTCTAAAAGAAAAGCCGAAAAAATTTTCTTCTAAGAAAGTTTTTATTGGAAAATTCGCAAAGGGATTGTACGGAAGATAGTTAGTCAAAAATTCTACAAGAGGACTAGAGCTGATTTTTAGTGAAAACTATGGCTGTAAAACTGGAAGGGAAGGTTTCGGTATATTCTGAATGATGGATAAGTGAGTAATATTTTAGGATGAGTTAAAATATTTAAGAACAAAATTAAGAACAGTCTTTTAACTTCAGTAAAAAGATATTTGTGGTTGAATAATCAGACATTTGCAGTCGATCAGCCTTTATGTGGAAATTCATTCTGAAATCTTGCAAAAACAAAATTTTTGCATAAATTTGCTTAAAAGTCGAATTCTCTGTATTATTTGGGATATAAATTGATGCGGAGGGCCGATTGTATTCATTTCTCTAGTTTTATCCGCTGAAATCGGTCACTTCGTCAATACTTGCTATTATCGACGTAACAGTGTGATTCGTATAGCTTTCAGTAGTACTTACCATCTGTAATTCTAAAAGTGGACTGATACAGTCGTCTTTGAGTTCTCGAATTCAGCCTGGTAATTTCCAATTGAAAGGAACCGCTATACAGGGACGCTTTCGCGCTTGACTGTGCCTGCCTGCTCTGTCCCTCACTAATTCTCAAATCATTAGCAACGGCTGGAAAGTGAAATTCGAGTAAAAAATCTCAGGAACTCCTCATTACTTCTTTAGTTTCTCTCAGTATCCTTCGAAGCAGCTGAGTGAATGCAGCTCCATAAGTCTGATCAGCTCATAGCAGGATCTGGTTCTGCGCGACTCTCTTACCCAACTAGCAAATACATTGTTGAAAAATTACATATTCTAATGTACAGTTAAGTATGCAGTCTATATTTCATCCCTTAGCTGTAAGCACAGACAGAGCATCCGAAGCGAGTATCACTGGGAATTGTCAGTACAGCCTCCTACTTGCCATGTGAGAAAAAGACAGATTAAAATAAACATGACGAGGAGAACAAAGAGAACGGGATTATAGGAGGAAAAAGGAGACAAGAAGAATAGAATTATGACAAGGAGAATAGAAGAGAATAGAACTATAGGAGGAGTATGGAAGAAAGTGAGAAGAAATAACAGCATGAATAAGTAGAGTTGCTGATCAGTTAATGGTATTAAAA